TTTTTGTTTCTGGCTTATTTCACTTATAATATTTTGAGGTTCATCCAGGTTGTAGTATGGGTCAGAATTTCATTCCTTTTAATGATGAATAATACACATGATACGTATGTACCACGTCTTGGTTATCCATTCCTCAGACAGTGGACACTTGGATTATTTCTGCCTTTTGGATATTGGCAAATATTTCATTTCTCTTGGGTATATATTTATTTCTTTTGGGTATTTCTTTTGGGTATATATCCAGAAATAGAATTGTTGGATCATACAGTATTTCATGTTTTAATATTGAGAGAGGCATCACCATAGTGTTTTCCATTGCAGGTGTGCCATTTTATATTTCCAAAAGCAGCATACAGGGGCTTCAGTTTCTCTACCTTCTTGCCAAACTTGCTATTTCTGTGTGTGTGTGTGATAATAGCCATCCTGATTGGTTTGAGGTAGTATCTCATTATCTCATTGTGGTTTTGATTTGCATTTTCCTAGTGACTACTGATATTGAGCATCTTTTCATGTGTTTATCGATCATTTGTATATTTTCTTTGAAGAATTGGCCATTCAAGTATTTTGCCCATTTTTCTCCCCCACATAGCTTCTCATGGCTACTTTGCCCTTTTTTTTTTTTTTTTCTCTTTTTCTTTCTTTTGAGACGGACGGTCTCCGCGCTGTGTCCCCCCAGGCTGGAGTGCAGTGCGGATCCTCGCTCACCTGCCAGCTCCGCCTCCGCCCTCTCCGCCATTCTTCCTGCCTCAGCCTCCCGGTAGCGCTGGGTCAGGCAGGCGCCTCGCGCCAGGACCCGCCGGCCTAGTTTTTTGTATTTTTCATGTAGAGACCGGGGTTTCACCATGCTTAGCGGCAGGATGGCTGCTCGATCCTCGCTGACTCGTGATCCACCCAGCGCTCGGCCTCCCAAAGTGCTGGGTTCAGCAGCTTGCAGAGCCCCACCGGCCGACGCGGCCCTACTTTGCCCATTTTTGAGCGCTGGCTTGCACACTGCGTATTACGCTTGTTTTATGCAGAGCTTCTTTAATACTCTGTATATTTCTGAGAACTAATTCTCTGCGTTTTTTTTTTTTTTTTTTTTCTTTTTTTTTTTTTTTTTTTTTTATAATTTTAATTTCTGAGCACCAGAGTCTTTCGCTCTGATCACACAGCGCCTGGAGTGGCGTGGGTGAGGGCACGATGCTCTGGGGCTCACAACAAGGGCTCCTGGCGGCCTCGCAGGTTCTCTGCATTCTCCCTGCCCAGCCTCCCTTAAGTAGCTGCGGACTACAGGCTCCTGCACCCAGCCATGCCCGGCTAATTTTTTTTTTTTTTTTTTTTTCTCTGAGAGCAGAGTCCGCCTCTGTTCGAACCAGGCTGCGGGTGCAGTGGCCGCCCATCTCCAGCTCACTGCCAAACTCCTGCCCCTTGCCTCAGTTCACGGCCATTCTCCTGGCCTCGGCTCGCCAAGTACGGCTTGCAGACTCACAGGTGCCCACCACCCGAACGCCCCGGCTACTTTTTTTTGGTTTGTTTGTTGTTTGCTTTGTTTTTTGTTTGTCTTTAGCTAGACGACGCCGAATTTCCATCGCTCTTCGAGCGCATATGGTCTTGATCTCCTTGACGTCGTGACTCCGCCCCTCGCCTCGGCCTCCCAACAGCTGCTGGCTTAGCAGGCGACGTGGAGCACCGCACGCCTGGCCTTCTGGAAGCTAATATCTTATCAGATATATGACTTGCAATATTTATTTCATTTCAGAGGTTGATTGCTTTTTCACTCTGATTGTGCCCTTTGATGCACAGATGTTTTGATTTTTCATGAGTCCAGTTTGTCAGTTCTTTCTATTCTATCTGTGCCTTGGCGTCATATCCATGAAAGCACTGTCAAATCCTGTGTCATGAAAATTATCCCCAATGTTTTTTTCTAAGATATTTTTAAGTTTCAGTTCTTGAGTGTAGAGTTTAGGTCTTTCATTCATTTTGAGTTAATTTTTGTATATAGTACAAATTAAGGGTCCAATTTTATTTTATTTGAACATCCAGTGCCCCCAACACTATTTGCTGAAAAGATGGACTGACTCTTTGAGACCTGTCACCTGCCCACCCCGGTGGACACTAGCTGGTCCATCCAATTGCTGTCCTGGGGCCTTGTCATGCCACTCTTCCACTTTGGACCCAAGCCCACACCATTGCTCCCCTCTGGGATACTGACCCCACTAATAGCTTCCCTGGGGCTACAACCTTCCTACCCTTGTGCCTCATGACCACCCCCTCCCTTGTCCCCACCATGCCCATGATGAGTCTTTCCTCGAGGCAGCTCCCCTTGCCTCCATCTCGCCCTCACCTGTGCACCACAGCCACACTGGACATGGGTTCCTCTGAGCCTGAGTCCCTTCCCATTCCCACCATCCCCTCTGGCAAGACCTTCCTTCCACCGCTGCCTTCATGCTCCTCCCTTGCCCCTGCAGGGCAGCCTCTCCCCGTGGCCCCTATTCCCTTAGGGGGCTTGTGGCCACCCAGTCCTGGCACCTGGCCTACAAGTTTGTCATCTCCATTCCCCCTTCTTCCGTTCGTCAGTCCCCTCCTCTGTCCTCCCACCCTCACAGTTTTCCTTGTATCTGAAATCCTCGTTCTTGTCCCTTTGCCCGTGTGCATTTCCTGCCTCCTCAAGAAGCTTGAGACAGACCTGTGTGTTAAACATTGATGTTAAGTTATTTCCAGGAAGAAGTTTCATCTGTGGTTTTCTCTTCCCCAGAGCTCCATAGTCTTCGTTACAACGTCACGGTGCTGTCCCGGGATGGATCTGTGCAATCAGAGTTTCTTGCTGAGGGACATTTGGATAGTGAGCTCTTCGTGCGCTATGACAGGGAGACGCGCAGGGCAAGGCCCCAGGGACAGTGGGCAGAAGCAGTCCTGGGAGCTAAGACCTGGGACACAGAGACTGGGGACTTGACAGAGAACGGGAAGGACCTCAGGAGGACTCTGACTCATATTGAGGGCCAGAAAGGAGGTGAGTGCGGGCAGGGGCAAGAGTAATGGGAGGCCTTCTCCAAGAGAGTTGGAGGCAGAGAGCAGGAGCTGTCTCTTCCTGCTGGTTCTGGCTGGGGGTGGGGGTGAGGAGTAGGTCAGTGGGGCTCAGCAGGGTGGTGAGCCAGCACTCAGCCCACACCAGGAGGCATGGAGGAGGGCGAGGGAGGTGTCCCTGCTGGGCTGAGTTCCTCACCTGAGTGGAAAGGTGACGGTTTCGGGAATGGAGAAGTCACTGCTGGGTGGGGGCAGGCTTGCATTCCCTCCAGGACATTCAGAACTGTGAGATCTATGAAGATGGCAGCACCGGGGGCTCCCGGCATTTCTACTACGATGGTGAGCGCTTCCTCTCCCTAAACCTGGCGACTCAGGAATGGACAGTGGCCCAGTCCTCCAGAGCTCAGACCTTGGCTATGAATTTCTGGAAGGAAGATACCATGAAGACCAACACACACTATCACGCTATGCAGGCAGACTGCCTGAAGAAACTACGGCGATATCTAGAATCCGGGGTGGCCGTCAGGAGAACAGGTACCAATCCTGGTCAGGGGCTCTCCTCTCCCTCCAATTCTGCTAGAGTTGCCTCTGCCTCCCGGCTCTGTCCAGGGAAACCCTCCCTGTGCTATGGATGCAAGCATCTCCTGTTGGCATATTGTGTCCTGATTTTCCTCTATCATTAGAGCCACTGGATAAAGACAGTGGGTCAGCGACTGAACCATCCAGTGTTGTAACCTGGGAAAGCGGCGGGCCCTGCAACAGAAGCCTGAGCCTGGGGTGGGAGTTAGGCAGGAGAGGAAGCCCTCAGGGCCAGGGCTGCCCCCTCTGCCTCCCAGCCTGCCCATCCCAGAGAGTTCCCTCCTGGCCCCACGACCCAGGAGTCCACCCCAACATCCCCCTCCTCAGCATCAATGTGGGGATCCCAGAGCCTGAGGCCACAGTCCCAAGGCCCATCCTCCAGCTAGCCTGGAGTAATTTGGCCACAGGTTGAGGACAGACTTACAGAAGGTCCGGGATCTGTGAGGGATTCAGCCAGAGTGGGAACAGTGGAGAGGAGCAGCCCCGTTCCCCGCATCTCCCTTTGTGGGGAGCAGGGCTTCACTGGCTCTGCCATTTCTTCTCCAGCGCCCCCCATGGTGAACGTCACCCACGGCGAGGCCTCAGAGGGCAACATCACTGTGACATGCAGGGCTTCCGGCTTCTATCCCGGGAATATCACACTGACCTGGCGTCAGGATGGAGTGTCTTTGAGCCACGACGCCCAGCAGTGGGGGGATGTCCTGCCTGATTGGAATGGAACCTACCAGACCTGGGTGGCCACCAGAATTCGCCAAGGCGAGGAGCAGAGGTTCGCCTGCTACATGGAACACAGTGGGAATCACAGCACTCACCCTGTGCCCTCTGGTGAGGCTGGGGTGACCCTGGAGAGGGTCAGGCCAGGGTAGGGACAATAGGGAAGGCTGTAGTTCTCTGCCCAGTGTATAACAAGTCCCTTTTTTCAGGGAAGCCGTCGGTGCTTCAGAGTGAATGGCTAAACCTTCTGTATGTTCTTGCTGTTGCTGTTGCCGTTGTTACGGCATTTATTATTATCTGTGTTCATCGTTGCAAGAAGAAGAAAACATCAGCGGCAGAGGGTCCAGGTGAGAAAAGGAGGCAGTTTCTGGAGATGACAAGGCTCCTGTCTGGGCAGCAGGGTCCCCTCATTGCTCCTGATAGGATGTAGGTGACAAGGCTGGAACAGGGGATGGAAGTTGGGGTATTTGGGAGGGGAATGGGAGCCACATTCCCATCTACACCCATAAGTCCTTCCCAAGCCAGGACTGGGGGAAGGCCCTCGAACGTCCAGCTGTGGCCTCCTTCTACTGCAGGTGGAGTGGGCAGCAGGGAGGGCTGCAGCGCCTGCTCTGTCCCCATCCCGGCCTCTCTGTCTCTCAGGCTCACTAGGGTGCGTCCAGGTGGGTTGAATTGGGAATCCCATGCTGATGGATGATCATGGCCTCAGAGGGAGCAAATAGTAACGGCAGCTGTGATCTGGGGAGGGCCAGAAACTGGAGAGGAATCCAAGGAGAAGCAGTGCCTCCCCTATGTGCCTCCTCCAGGAGGCACTTTCCAGGTTCCCACCACCTGGCCTCCTAGAGTTTCCTTGCAGATGACAGGGATGAGTAGATAAGCAGATGTTCCTGGGCCATTTGAGGAGCGGGGCCCAGCCCCTCATCAGGGCAACTGTGGTCTCTGTTTTCATCCCACCTCCAAGTGTTTTGTTCTCCAGTCCCTGAGGGACACAGTCCCCAGGCACCATCTTTTGGGGGCTTTGTTCTGTGCTCTGTGGCCTCACCTTGCCCTCCCTGAGCCAACTTCCCTTTCTCAAGGTAGTCACTGCCTGGTAAATTTGGAGTAAGGGACGGTCAGAATCTTTTCCCCCCCAGTCAGGTTGTTTGATGGGAGATGAAAAGAGACAGCAGGAAGTTTTGTGTTTCTGCAAAAACAGGCTATGCAGGGGACAGTGAGAGGCTGGGGTGTCCAGGAGACCTGAGTCTCTGTCATTTCCCCACTTCTGTGTGTCTAGCGGTAGGGGCGCTGGTTTCTCATCCTTGAACCTAATTGCGCTGTCATTCGGCCCCTCAAGCCTGAGCAGATTGGAAGGTTCATCCCCTGCCCTGCAGCAAGAGGGCCCCGTCCAGGAGGCACCCACAGCAGGGGCAGCGCAGGTCTGTGGTCGCTCCTGCTCTCACCTGCGGTGTCTCCCGTAGAGGGATTGTCGGTTCTGCTTCCCTGTGGGCAGGAATGGTTTCCTCGTAGGTCACTGGGGTTTTGGCGAGGAAAAGGGTATGAAGTTCATGTGCCAGTTTCTCAAAATTTCTGCTTTCAATGTTGATGTCCAATAAAAATGTTCATAATTTCAGCTCTATAATCTTAATAGGATTTCCTCTAATACTGCTGTTGTAAAGCATATTAAATAAAACAGGAACTCAAATTTGGAGCCCCCTCTCCAGGAGAATCTGTGGGAGATGGTGGCTGTGGCAGTGGCAGTTCCCAGGTGCAGAGGATGGGCAGAAGCAGCCTCAGGCTAAGGGGACTCCCCTACTTCACATGGAGAAAATCCCTTTTAGATTACAAGGGCAGTGGCCTAGGTAGAATCCCTGCTAGGGACAGAGCAGGAAGGCCTCGCAGCCTCACCAAGCAGCAGCCCTGGGGTGGAGTAAGTGGACCAGGCAGGAGCAGTGGTGACTCAAGAGCAGGTCACAGGCCTTGGTGGGTGCTGAGGGTCAGGAGAGGCCAGGCCTTCTCGAGCAAGGTGGGGTCCCAGGCTCACGTCAGGTGCGGATTCTCTGGCAGCCACGTCTTTCCATTCTGGGCCTGCTGGGCCCCCCAGCCTTCCTGATGAGATTCCCAGTTAGGAGCTGTCTGCTCAGGGCTGGGAGGGGAGGAGCACTGAGCTGCAGATAGAGGGCAGAGCCCACAGTGGGCAGGGCCTGCCCTGGTGTGCAGGTGCCTCTGCAGGAGAGGAGGGCCTGGGGACTGAGAGCAAGGGTCAGGGCCTCTCTTTGGGGAGGCCTCTCACTGTAACAGGACTGGTCAGGTCTGAGAGGAGGGGAAGGTGCTGGGTTCCCTCTTGGGTCTTGTCCTTTAGTCTTGTGGCCCTTTCACTCCGTGTACGATGAGTGGTGGGCAAGGGCAGGGGCTGATGTTGATGGAGTGATGAGAGGGAACTGGCAGGAGCTGGGAAAAGCAGGGAGGAAGGAAGAAAAAAGTGGGGGCCTCATCTTCCCTCAGAGAAAGGGGGAATCTGGTTTTGGAGCAACTGAAGAGAGAAAAGTCCTCAGGGAATAAACAGAACACTGCACCCAGTGGAGCATTTACCCGTTTCCCTCTTTTCTCCAGAGCTCGTGAGCCTGCGGACCCTGGATCAACACCCGGTTGGGACGGGAGACCACAGGGATGCCACACAGCTCGGATCTCAGCCTCTGATGTCAGCTCCTGGGTCCACTGGCTCCACTGAGGGTGCCTAGACTCTACAGACAGGCGGCCAGGATTCAACTCCCTGTCTGGATCTCACCAGCACTTTCCCTCTGTTTGCTGACCTATGAAACAGAGAAAATATCAGCACTAATTTATTGTTATTGGATGCTGCAAAGTGTTAGTGGATATGAGGTGTTTGCATCTCTGCCATATAGAGAGTGGCAAAGAGATCATGACCAACTCAACATTCGTTTGGAGGCTATGATCAAACAGCAAACCGCTTATCATGAATGCAGGATGTGGGCAAACTCAGGACTGCTCGTGCCGACAGAAGGTTTGCTGAGGACAATCACTCCATGGTGCTCATTGAGGTTATCTACTGCGTCATCTAGAGCCTATTGTTCAAGGAATGCAGTCTTGCAAGCCTACTCTGGACCCAGCAGCTGACTCCTTCCACCCCTCTTCTCGCTATCTCCTATACCAATAAATACGAAGGGCTGTGGAAGATCAGGGAGCCCTTAAGATCAGGGAGCCCTTGTTCGCGAGAAGCAAGGAGCCCCCTGACCCCTTGTTCCAAATATACTCTTTTGTCTTTGTCTTTATTCCCACGTTCATCTTTCGTTCAGTCCAGTACAGGGTTGTGGGGCCCTTAACAGTGCCATATTAATTGGTATCATTATTTCTGTTGTGTGTGTGTGTGTGTTTTGTTTTTTTGTTTTTTTTTATTTTGAGACGAAGTCTCACTCTGTCACCCAGACTGCAGCTCACTGACTTGATCTCAGCTCACTGCAACCTTTGCCTCCCAGGTTCAAGCAGTTCTCATACCTCAGCCTCCCAAATAGCTGGGATTACAGACAGGCACCACCACACTCAGCTAATTTTTGTATTTTTCGTAGAGACGGGGTTTCGCCAAATTGGCCAGCCTAGTCTCAAACTTCTGACCTCAGGTGATGCACCTGCTTCAGCCTCCCAAAGTGCTGGGATTACAAGCATGAGCCACTGTGCCTGGCCTATTTTATTGTATTTTAATATATTTTATTATATTAGCCACCGTGCCTGTCCTATTTATTTTCTTATGTTTTAATATATTTTAATTTATTACATGTGTAGTAATTAGGTTATCATAGGTAGGCTTTGTGAGTATCTTGGTGATGACTCCGGACCAGCTTTCTTGTCACCTTGAGGTCCCCTCGCCCCATCACACTGTTATGCATTACTCTGTCTAATATTATATGTGCATAATTTTATACCATAGATGTTTACTCTTTAAATAGACATTTCTGGTCTGTGTTTTATTTCATGCGTCTGGGAGCGGATAAAGTGTGAGGTTCAGAGAGAAGAAGAGGTGTGTCTCAATGCCCTGAGCCAGCATCAAAGCAATCTCCCCTCCTCTTTCCCTTTCCCTGCTAGTTCCCAATGACTGACAGATTCATAGCAGAACAGAAAGGACTGGGAAGGGATGGAGGTGGGACATCTGTCACCAACATTCAGGGGCTGACCTTGTGGGGGAACATCTGCTCTGAAGAGCTGGAGCCTTCTTGTGATGACACAGAGATCTTTGTCACTGTGTTCAGGGAAAGGACCAAGCCTCACTCCCCATGCGGAGAGGAGGTTCTGGCTGTGATCTGGCCTGTGGGAGAGGTGAGGACCCGCTCCCTCTACAGTGACAGCCAAGAACCTGCAGGTGACAGAGAAGGCTTCCCCTCAACTGTGTCCTATCAGGTTCTTCCAGGCATCAAGGAATAGACCTGGGACACTACCTTCAGTGACATGAACACACCCGGAAGTGAGGTGGCCCTACCAGGGGGTCCTGGGGCTGCCGCTTGTTTTGGGAACTCAGTGTCTGCAGAGGGGCGTGGAGAGTAGGCTTTGTGCAAAACAGTAATCATGACCTATAAATTATTTTATTCTTCATTAGCTTTTTGTCTTAAAATAAAAGTTACCCAAAAAGAAAAACTGTCTGAAAATGTTCCCTTTAATAATAATAATAAAAGATAAACACCCTTCAACCACCAGAGATATAGAAGTTTGTCAACCAGCCCAGAAACCTCATCATTTGCCCCAACTCAGTGATAAAGGCTTCCCTCCTCTGCATAAAATCACAGCCTGACCTTTATGATCATCACTTCTTTGTTCTATTTTATATTTTCATCATCTGAAATTGTAGTTTAGTTTTACCTTGGGATATATAAAGTGGCGCGATCTCGGCTCACTGCAACCTCCGCCTCCTGGATTCAAGCGATTCGCCTGCCTCAGCCTCCCGACAATCTGGGACTACAGGCGCGTGCCACCATGCCCAGCTAATTTTTTTGTATTTTTAGTAGAAACAGGGTTTCACCGTGTTAGCCAGGATGGTCTCAATCTCCTGACCTCATGATCTGCCTGCCTCGGCCTCCCAAAGGGCTGGGATTACAGGCGTGAGCAACCGCAGCCTGGCCTGTTCTCTTTTTCTCTCTATGCTCCTCCTTGAAATTTATATTGTCCTAGTTGAGTTTTCCATAGTTTGCATTTTGCTGTCTCCATCCCAAGGCATAGTTTAATATGGACCTGTTTTATCTGTACTTTCTATAAATTGGTACTTGGCTGCAGATATTTGCTTATAGGCAGACTTGATTTTCTTCTTGAATACTTTATGGCACTCCATTGTATTCTTCCATCAAGAGGAAGAACTTAGTACTGATTATTTATACTTTACTTTTTTCTTTCTTTCTTTTTTTTTTTTTTTTTAGATGGAGTCTCTGTCGCCCAGGCTGGAGTGCAGTGGCGCGATCACAGCTCACTGCAACCTCCGCCTCCCGGGTTCACGCCACTCTTCCGCCTCAGCCTCCCGAGTAGCTGGGACCAGAGGCGCCCGCCACGCCCAACTAATTTTTTGTATTTTTAGTACAGACAGGGTTTCACCGTATTAGCCAGGATGGTTTCAATCTCCTGACTTCGTGATCCGCCCGCCTCGGCCTCCCAAAGTGCTGGGATTATAGGCGTGAGCCACCGCGACCGGCACTTTTACTCTACTTTTAATTGCCATTGCTTTTCAATGGCTAAATCTGTTAATTCGTTATGGGTTGCAAAAGAATTATAGTCTCAGTCTCTCATTCCTTCCTCATTTACTAGCTGAATAATTTCTGAAATAAGAGATTTATCCTTGGCCGGACGCGGCTCATGCCTGTAATCCCAGCTACTCGGGAGGCGGAGGTAGACGAATTGCTTGAACCCGGGCGGCGGGGGTTGCAGTGAGCCGAGATCGCACCATTGCACTCCAGCCTGGGCGACAAGAGTGAAACTCCGTCTCAAAATAAATAAATAAATAAAGTGGAGCACTTGACGGCCATGGGAGAGAATAGGCTATGACCACACATAGCAAGATGATGAGCCCAACAAAGATGATGAGCCCGACCACATGAAAACAACTTTTAATTTCATTCAATCAGAACCGACAGAACTGATCTACAGTGTTACAAATCAAGACAGTGGCCACTGTAGGGTGGGGGAGGGTGGTTTATGAGTGAGTAGGATTCCAAGGTGTTTCTTGTAGGGTGGACATGATGTTGCTTGATGAAGGTGTTGTTTATCTGAGATTTTACTTGGTCAAAACCCACTGCCCACCTGTGATTTGTCCCCCTTCCTCCATGCATGATGTCTTTCATTCAAGTTTACATTTCTGGTGTTTTGAAACAATTCTCTCTAAGCTAATAGAATTTCTCCTACTCCAAGTCCTTAGAAATGCTGCATTGAAAATACCAGTGAATTTTTTTTTTAATTCCAGGAAATAAACACCTGTGACTCAGGTATAAAAAGGAGAATCTACCACAAGAGCAGTCGGCTTGGGAGCTGACACCAGAACAGCTTTGGAAATGGCTGTCCAGCCAGGAACTAGGAATCAAAACTCAAACCGGACCACAGGAGGTGGAGGGTAGAAATGACGCCCCAGCAGTGCATGAATGAATGAGTCATGGGCAGTGGCTCATGGGTTGCCTGGCCAGTCTGGAACTTGGGGAAAATAAAGTTGGAAAATTGGGGGGTAGAAGAGAGAAGTGTGCATTCACCTCTTTCCATGGGAAGAGCGTGTGAAGATAGAGGTTGCATGTAGATGCCCACCAGAGGGTCTCCAAGGGCTGGGGCTCCCTGTAACCAGTTGGGCGAGATGGCTTGATGGACGATGCCACTCAGTCGCAGAGGGCTTGCTCATGGAGTTCATGCATGAAGTGGCCATGGTGGCTGCGATGGACACTGCATGGGCACAGCAATTGAGTCGCCACTCACCAGGGCTGACCTGGCAGCTGCCACTGCTGAGGACCTAGCCTGCTAAAAGCAGCTGTTTTTTTGAACAGAGAAAAAAAAACAGACAATGTTAATTAAGAGCAAGACAGTGTTACGACAGATAAATATGCCACTGCAGCTATAGTAGAGATGTAAACAATCTTGAAATTATTAAAAAAAAAAAAATGTCGATGGAAAAGACTTATTACAAGTAAAGAAGTTAAAACAGTTGTAAAAATTCTATTTCTGCCCAACTATATCCAGATTGTTTCACAGGGCAGTCCTACTAAACCTTCAAAGAAGGTTATTGGACTTATTTAAAATATTCAAGAGAATGGGGCAAAATATGAAAAGCTAGACAACTCACTTAAACAGATATGAATAATGTTAATTCTAAAGTCAGAGAACAAATAATAAAGAAACATGATAGGAAAATCAGTATTAATAATTAGATGAAAAATAGATGAGAAAAAAGTAGACTGTGTCCATCAGTGTGCTATAAACAAATATCTTGACCAAGTTATGAATCCTGAGAATGCAAGAATATTTAAACTTTAAATCTTTTAATGCATTTTAACACTTAATTCAATAATTCAGAAAGAGATAATCATAGTTCACTAGATGTAGAAATCACTGTAGATGAAATCCAACACTACACCTGACCTACATTTCTTCAGTTATCTCTACTTTTAAGAATTCGTGATCAGTGCAGCACTATTCACAATAGCAAAGACAAGAAATCAACCTAGATGCCCATCAACAGTGGAATGGATAAAGAAAAATGCGGTACATATACACCATGGAATGCTACCCAGCCAAAAAACAAGAACGAAATCATGTCCTTCACAGCAACGTGGATGGAGCTGGAGACCATTATTCCAAGCAAATTAATGTAGGAACAGAAAACCAAGTACCACATATTCTCACCTATAAGTGGGAGCTAAACCTTGAGTACACATAGACCCAAAGAAGGGAACAATAGACACTGGAGCATCCTTGAGGGTAGAGGGTGGGAGGAGGGGGAAGATTTAAAAAAACTACCTATCCAGTATTGTGCTGATTACCTGAGTAACAAAATTATCTGCACACCAAACACCCATGATACACAATTTATCCATGTAACAAACCTGAATATGTATCCCTTGAACCTAAAAAGTCAAAAAGAAAAAAGAAAAAAAGAATTCCTGATCAGGTTGAGCCCACCTAAATAATCCAGGACAATGGCCGGGCGCTGTGGCTCACGCCTGTAATCCCAGC